AAAAAAAACAAAAACAAAGTGACTCACAATTATAATAAGTGCGAGTAATTTGATTCCAATAAAATAGAAACAAAAGAAACAAGATAACAAAATGACCACTATCCGAGTACATATTATACAGCTTACTACCACTAAATACATGAAATTCCAATAGGCTGAGAGAGAAAAACAGAATAAGTTCAAAGAGATAATAATAGCTAAAGACCAATCAGTAATATGAGGCTGAAGAAAATAAAAACATAAACTAACCTTTGCCTTTGTCTGCATCTTTTCTGCAAACGCCACATACCGCTTCAACGAATAGTCCTTTGTGTCTCCAGTCACAACAATCAAGGCCTAATTTAAACAACATTCACAGATAAAACACATCATACCTTCGAACCTTGGATATAAGAGAAAAAAAAGTTCACAATGTTGTCATTTCAAGATTGCTTCAAACACTTAAAACAAAATGCTAGAGCCTGACGTCAAGATTTCAACTTGGTAGTTGAAACGACAAAACCAGATAGGCTCAATTGGAATATCAAGCTTGTATTATGTAGGTGAAGACAACAATAGTCCTACTATCCAATAACATTAGAAAAATAAACAAGAAAAAATATGTTTTTCTTTCAGTTATTTAGTCTCCAAATATAGTATGATAAATCAATTTCATGAATTTTATGTCAAGACACTCAGGGGATGCACACATCAAGAGACTGATTTGCATAAACAGTTCCATCAGCCACATGACTAAAAAATTATAACTAACAAATTACCTCGTCGGACATGAAAGGGACGACCTCCGGCGCATAGGCAGCCAGCACGGCGGAGGCGGTGGCGGGTCCCACGCCCTTCAGCACCGTTAGCTCCTGCACGGCCTTGGATACATCAGGCAAGGAAGCAAACGCCTTGGTGGAGGCCTCCCGCACGACGGCGTCGTCCAGGGCGGACATGAAGGAAAGCAACCGGGGCCTCCATTTTCCGCGCGCGAGCTTCCACTCCATAAGCCTGGAGAGCTCGCCGGCAGTGATGTGGGGATTAGGGTTCCGTTGACGGAGGAGTTCCGGGAGCTCCCTGCGGTAGAAATCGTCGAGGGAGACTAGATTCGGTTTTCCGAGGACTCTAATTACGGCGTCGTAGGATGAGAGAGCCTCCTTGCAACGAGCGGAGTCGAAAGAATCGAGGTCCATTGAGCGAATACGGTGGTCGTCTGTTGGGGTTCCGGTGGGTTGGAACTTGCGCGGGCTTAAACTCTGTCTTTCTACGGTCAAATTTCTTCTTCACCTCAAAATTGTTTTTCCGGCAAAGTTGTCGACGGCGATGTTAAGGGAAGGGGAAACTAGATGTATGACAATAAAGACAACAGTTATTTGAGAATAAAGATTGAAAAAGGTATACTAGAAAAACGAAAACATTAAGTGACAAATTGTTAGTGTGTATACTAAACACTTGTTTGTTAACACTATACCTATTTTAATGAGAATTATTTAATTAAATAATATTATGTTATGATGCATTTAGATAGATATGGATTATCACGACTATCAGTTACTTGTAAAACATGAACATTTTGTTTACAATCTATATTGAAATAAACAACTCATCGCTAACGATTGTAGTGTAATTTGGATCATTTGATCTTGACTAATGAATTACACTAGTACACTATGTGTGTATTAAACGAATATCAAGAGAAAAAGTTTATTCCATATTGAACAAGTAAATAAACTAGATCTCGGTAATTACTGCACACACTTAACCTGTGACGTACACGAAATAGCTTCTACTTTGATTCACTAAAAGGTGAGATTCATTCTACTAGACAATAGCCTAGGTAAGTTGGGATGGAGATAAGGATGTTTAGAATTTTAAATTTAATTATTTGTTTTCTTCTTTATTATTATTATTATTATTATTATTATTATTATTATTATTATTATTATTATTATTATTAGGGAAAAAAACTTTTTCCTATCTGAACTTTCGCGAAAATGGCACATCACCATATGAACTTTATTTTTTTGCAAACCACCCTCTAAACTACACGGGTTTGTCAAAATACCCCCACACCACCTTTAAGTCCGGTTTCACCTGTTAGAATCTGGTTTTGAACACAATATAAATAGCCCACTGCCGGTCATTTGCTGGAGCAATTTTCCCCAAAATCGTCCAATTTTCCCCTCTTTCATCTAGGGTTTCTCATCTCCGAACAATATAATGTCCCGGCAAATTTCCGAGGAGCTAATCGATGACTTCTGTCGGTGTGGGAAGCCTACTGTGCGAAAGACGTCATGGGCCGATGGTAATGCGGGGCGTAGGTACTCGGCCTGTGAGAAATACCGGGTAAATGCACTCAATTTCTTCTCTTGATTTCAATTTTCTAGTTTAATTCAATTGCTAGTTTAATTTCCCATATTTGTTCGACATTTATGTTTGTGAAATCGCCAGATTTTTTTTTTTAATTTTGTTTTTCTTTTTTCGAATTACAGATGTTGGGTGGGTGTACATACCATGTTTGGGTTGACCCTCCAATGTGTTATAGAGCACAACAACTCATTCATGGGCTTCTGAAACGGGCCAAAAAATTGGAAGAAGAAATTGCAAGAAGGAAAAAATGGGAAAGGCTCATGTTGTTGGCAATTGTTGGTTTGATTGTTCTATGCTTCTTGAAGTGTAATGGATGTGCTTGAGTGTAATGGGTGTGCTTGACTGAAACAAGATGCAATAGATGTAGTTGAAGTGTAATGGTTGAAGTGTAATGGATGTGCTTGAGTGTAATGAGTGTGCTTGACTGAAACAAGATGAAATAGATGTAGTTGAAGTGTAATGGGGTGTTGTAGTTGGTCATTTTGTGTAATGTCATGGTGTTTATTAATGCAATGGATGTTTTTGATGTCATGGTGTATCTGCACATTTTTGATTATTTTCTGCACATTGTTAGGGATTAATAAACAACCAAAATAAACTAACACTTAAATTTCCAACCAAAATATACTAACACTTCAATTTCCAACCAAAAAGCATACATTGTTTTGATCAACATCCCCAACACATCCCAAAAACAACCATAGTATCCTAGCAAAACATGTTCACAACAACCAAGTCAACAAAACATGTTCAAACCAACAACACAAAACAAATCATGCTTACAAACACCAAACCTACAAAGCATGATCTATCTACTTCAGAGCCACAAATTAAGAACACCAATCCAACAACCAAGTCTACTGTTGTCTACAAACTGGGGTTTCTTCTTCACTTCTGACAATTCCTGCACTTCTTGTGACAGTTCCTTCACTTCTTCTTTCAGTTCCTTCACTTCTAACAATTGATGGGTCTGGCCTGTGTACAATCCCTCCTCCACTTATCATGAATCCTCCACCAAACATTCTTGAGAAGCTTCTAGCATCTGTGAGTGACCTCCCAGGTGGTCTCCATATGGGTTTGTCAACCTCATGAGCAGAATTGGATGTTTGACCTTGAGATTGTGGCATCTTTCTCACCTGGTTAACAGTAATTACAATAACAAATATTTTAAGTACAACTTCAATATGTGCAAACCAAATTTAACCAATAAAGCATCCAAATACTTACATCCAACTTTCTTTTCAGACCTAAAGTTCTTTTTGTGCTCTGAACATCCTTGGTGGTTTGAGAATTCTGTGTGTGCACAATTTTCTCATTACCTGTGACCTTGTCAATTGACTAGAACAACAAATTAATTAGAAAATCAATAAGAACATAAAATTAATCAAGAAAGACTTGAAACTTATCTCCATTAAATAGATCCAGTTACCTTACTAGCCTTGGAGTTGGTAGCTGAAGTGGAATTGATGTTCTTATTGGATCTTGTGGTTGGTCCTGTCACTGTGATGCTTTTGGCCAACTCTTTTTTTGTTGAGACTTCTCTTGTGTTCTTGATAAGGGTCTGTGACTTCTCAATTGAGGTGCTGGCAGACCTTATGATTCTCTTTTCAATTTGAGTAGTCTTCATTGCATTCTTTATCTCTGAGGTGTTTCTTACGTTTCTCTGAGGAGGCTGCACAATTTATTAGTTAAAACAGTCAATATTTAGGGTTTCCAACATTGAAAATATACTGTAAAAAGTCAAACATACCCTTGCAAGTGGTTGTTCATTATTGGGCAGTGATGCATCAAATTCATCAATGACTGAATAAATCTCCTCCAAGCCTGGGTCAATGTCCATTTGGTCAGGGTCCATCTGTTGAGAGCCCATTTGGTCAGGTCCCATCTGCTGTGGGCCCATTTGATCAGGTCCCATCTGTTGAGGGCCCATTTGGTCAGGGTTCACTGAGGCAGGGCTCATTTGGTTAGGGCCCTCTGAGGCAGGGCCCATTTGCTGAGGGCCCATTCGCTGAGGGCCCATTTGCTGAGGACCCACTGAGGCATGGCCCATTTGTTGAGGGCCCACTGAGGCAGATGCTTGTGAGTTCCCATTTGGCTCATTGTTCATTGTGACCCCTGTTTGCTCATCTTTTTCCTTTTCCTAAACATATAATAATCAAATTCATTAGATATCTAAATCATCAAAGTATGAATGCAAAGAAGTGCATAAATGAAAATACCTTTTGGTTGTTCTCATTTTTCTTAGAAGGGCAACCTCTGACATTGTGGTTCTTTTGTCCACAGTATGAACATGTCATTTTCACTCCCTTCTTGCCTAAGGTAAGTGGTCTTCCACCTTGTGATGGCCTCCCAGAATCTCTTTTACCTTCATCTGGATCTTTCCTTCTGTTATGTTTTCTTGGTCTTCCAGGCATCTTCTCAATCACTGGTGGGACAAGAGATTGCACATCCACCTCTGGCCACATTTCAGAGTCATTAATGGCTTTCATCATATGTGAATGTGACCTTAGGAATGTGTTCCTACTGTAACAGTTATCCACAAAGTCTTCAGGATTCTTCCCCAAGTAAAAAATCCCACTTATTGCATGAACACATGGGATACCAGTTAAATCCCACCTTCTACAGGTACAAGTCTTTTCTGTCAAATGAACCTTGAACCTAGTTCCTATTCCATTCTCTATCTCAAACTGATCCTCACCATTCCAATGAGCAAAAAAATCTGAAGCTCTCTTTTTCAGCTCCTCCAAGATCTTAACAATCTTTGGACAGATAACACCATCATATTTTAACATTTGATCCCTTCTCTCATGCAATCTCTTCATCAATATTAATCTGATATGTTCTAGGAGTTCAAGAATTGGCTTCTTTCTGGCACTCAAAATCATGGAATTGAAACTTTCACTGTAGTTATTGTAAAGAATATCACTCTTGATATGAGTTGAAAAGTGGGACCTTGACCAATGACATGGAGGAACTTCAGCTAACCACTTAAATGCTTTGTCATCTCTGCTTTTCATCTCACCGTAGCCTTCTGTAGATCAACCACTCTTGATGACATTGCTGCCTTGAAGAGGATACCTTTCAGAGCCAAACCCCTGTAGTTTTGCTTGAAGTTACTGTACAGATGCATGACACAATACCTATGTTCAGAACCAGGGAAGAATCTGTTCACTGCATCAACTAACCCCTTCTGCCTATCTGACATAACTGTCCACATGTGGCTTCCTTGATGTTCAGATCAAGTGCTAAAAATTCCATAAACCATCCCCAACTGCTTTTTGTTTCTTTCTCAACAACATCATATGCAAATGGAAACATGTTGTTGTTTGCATCTAAACCTACAGCACTCAGCAACACACCCCCTGCAAAACTTTTTAAATGACAACCATCAAAACATATAAGAGGTCTGCAACCCTCTAAGAACTCTGATTTCAGTGATCCCCAACAAATGTAAAGTCTTCTAAAAACAGGTTTACCATCAATCATGTTAGACTTGATCTTCACTGTGGTGTTAGGGTTACTGTCCCTAATTTCTTTTGCATACCTCCACAGCAATGCATATTGCTCACTATCCACTAGACTTCCCATTTTTTTAACCCTCTTTTTGGCCCTGTACATCATACTCTTGCTCATAACAAGTTTCTGCTCCTTCTGTGTCACTAACATCATAGAATCTATTGGCCAATTTGGATCACTCCAAAGTTTATCCTTGTAGGTTCTTGCAAGCCAATCACTACCAGCATGAGAAACTTTTTGTTTCCTGTTACACCTGTGTTTCCCGTTGAAAGTTTTTACAACCATTGTGTCCTCATCCTGCTTCTTAGAGGCATAAATCACCCAGGGACAATTTGGTTGTTTGCACTTGGCTTGAACCTTAGTTTTCTCATTAATAGTGAAAACAATATCCCTACCTTGTTTCCTAGAATGTTGTCTCACAGCTTCTCTAAAGGTAGGTGTATCACTAAAGTTCATGCCTACCTCAAATTTAGGATCTTCTCCATCTAACTTGGGGTTAAAAACTGGATAACCATCATGCATCTGAGTTTTTTTCTTCCCCTCACCCACAGAAAACTTACCATGGACTTCTGACCCTTTCTTCTCTCTCAAGTTCATACCACCCAACTCAACTTCAACATCTATATTACTATCAAACAGAACATCATCATCTGATACATCATAGTCACTTTCACCTACATAATCAGAAATTTCTGAGTCACTAACAGTTTCACCTGAATGATCATCTGATACATCACTATCACTTTCATCTGTTTCCCTATCATCAATAACATCTTGTAGGTATGTTCTACTTAAACCACCAGACTCATTCTCATTACTATCTACAAATGCATTTTCTTCATTGATTCTCCCCTCAGAACTTTCTAAGTTCCCAACAAATGGCAATGGTTCAACTACATTTGGAAACTCAGACTGATTACCACTAAAAATGAGGGGCTCATGTTCAACAAACAAACTGACAACTCTATCAGAATCCAACCATTGCACCAAATTCATAGCATCCAAATCATTCTCAAGTAGTGACAAATCAGAACAATCAGCCATTCCTCTTTTGCTACAGAATATTTTACCCACATTATCCAAGCCAATTTCTTTAACCATAGACAATATCTCAACCATTGACATCCAATCTTTATCACAATTGTCAATGAAATCAATAGAACCACCACAATACACATTTCGACCCACACTTACAAATTTACCAGAATGATTGAATGCAATCGTAAAAACTTCAGCATTATCACCTATAAAAAAAAAAACACCTCAGCAAACAAACAAAAAACTAAGCATGATAAAACACTTCAGAAATCGAACAAGAAACTAAGCATGATTTTTCATATGTTACGAAAAAAAGGTATCAGATTGGAGAGGTAAACACTTACAGTTTTTTCTTGCCGACTGAGACGATTTTGGCCGCAGCTTCCAACTCATTGTTGAGCTAAACCTAAAATTCGTACTCACAGTGTGCTCGATTTCGTATGTCGATTCAAAAGGTAGTGAAATGATTTTCGATTATGAGGCAAAGAAGAAAACCCTGATTTCAATTTTCGTTCGCTCAAACCCTAATTGACAAGAATCGTTCGCTGATGTTGGAGAGAAATGAAATTGGGAGAAAAGGTAGGGCAACCGTCAACCGGAGGTGGGCTATTTATATTGTGTTCAAAACCGGATCCTAACAGGTGAAACCGGACTTAAAGGTGGTGTGGGGGGTATTTTGACAAACCCGTGTAGTTTAGAGGGTGGTTTGCAAAAAAATAATGTTCATATGGTGATGCGCCATTTTTGCGAAAGTTCAGATGGGAAAAAGTTTTTTTTCCCTTATTATTATTATTATTAGTGGTATTATAGATTTGTTAGGAAACTTATTATTTATTACATTGTTAGAATTCTTGTCTTGTTAGACAAGTTAGTATTGTTAGGATTCTTGTCTTGTTTGACAAGTTAGTATTAGGGTTTTAGGAGCCTTATTTAAAGGACTCATTGTCTATTGTTTTATAGAGTTGATTTTGAATAAAAATATGAATTGATTGTGAGTTTTATCGAGAGAGTATCTCGTTTTGCGTGTTTTACGAAAGAGTATCTCGTTTACTCGTTTATCATTCCCACTCGTACGCTTATCTACATGAGTTGGTATCAGAGGTCGGTACGATTCGCGATGCCGCCAGGACGACAAGATGCCGCAAACGAACAACGTGATGCAATCTTCAACGGCGGTTTCAACAGATTGACTACTGATTTCAAGAGTTGGACGTGCATTTCACGGATTGGTTTGCCGATCTTTCGACGGGGATCGAGAATTTGCATTTGACGCTTAACAATGTGGTTGTTTCGGACAAGCAAACGAACCGCGACTTGGCCGGCCGGGGCGGTCGTGGGGGTTATCGCGGAAGTCGTGGCGGAAGAGGGCATGGCGGGGAGCCCCGTCAGCGTACGCCACCACCTATGCACGGAGAGGACGACGGCGAAGAAACGTTGTCGGAGGTCAGCCCCTTCAGCTTCCGACACGCGGAGCACGACAATAATCGGTGTTAGAAGTCATCGTTCCAAGTCGAAATCCTTGAATTTTCAGGGGCCTTTGTGGACGCACGAGGGTCGACCGAATATACGAGTCCACCTATTTTTGATATCGAGGGGTCGACTGATTATGAGGGTCCATCCATTTTTTATGAGGAGCCACCTGTGGCGTCGATGGAGGACGAGTACCATGTGGTTGTGCCTGAATGGATGTTTTCAGTGAATTGGAAAATGGATTTTCATGGTCTTTTATTCAACAAGCATATGTGTTTGATAACTCACATAGTGTGCCCAAAAAGGGCAAAGTGGGGAGTTGATGTCATAGTTTTTTTGCTTGTGAGTATACCAAGTTCATGGCCCGTCAAATTGGCTCGGTCTGGATTGTGGAGCAGTTGAAGACGAGATTGCTTCGGATTCGAGGCCGAATCCTTTTCGACAGGGGGAGAATGATGGAGATAAGGATGTTTAGAATTTTAAATTTAATTATTTGTTTGTTGTTGTTGTTGTTGTTGTTGTTGTTGTTGTTGTTGTTGTTGTTGTTGTTGTTGTTGGGAAACTTATTATTTATTACATTATTAGAATTCTTGTCTTGTTAGACAAGTTAGTATTGTTAGGATTCTTGTCTTATTAGACAAGTTAGTATTAGGGTTTTAGGAGCCTTATTTAAAGGACTCCTCCTCTATTGTTTTATAGAGTTGATTTTGAATAAAAATATGAATTGATTGTGAGTTTTATCGAGAGAGTATCTCGTTTTGCGTGTTTTACGAGAGAGTATCTCGTTTACTCGTTTATCATTCCCACTCGTACGCTTCCCTACATCAGTTGGGTAGTGATGTTGTGCTTATAGTGTGTTGTTCGATAATTTATGATCAGCGTGTTCCTTAGTCTGATATTGGCGCGCGAAATTAGCTCAAGAAGGATTGCTATGTCAAGCCCAGCACGCGAATTAAATACTGACATAATAATAAAGTATTGAGTTGTACTAGTTTCGGATCAAGAAATCAATTAATTAAATTATCAATAATTAAAATAATTAACGAACATTATATCTTAAACGCGAAAAGGTAAATAGAGTAATTATATTGGAGTCTCAAATATAATTTGGGAGCTAAATTGTGAGTTCAGTACATAGTAATTATTTAGTGCACTGAAATATTGTGAGTTCAGTACATAGTAATTATTTAGTGCACTGAAATATTATTCAAGTATGACCTGAGTGGCTTACGCTCCCAGTTGAGCACATACATAGGGAGTTCATATTTAGCATCTCCTTAGGGTTCCTATTGTAGCTTATAAATACACCAATTCATTTAAATGTTTCAGCCGCCACTCTCATAAGATCTCACACTCCCCAATCCTTTCTTCAGAGAAAATATTTTCACCACGACTTTGCGTATTTTTTGATAGATAGAGAATCCATGGGTAATCTTCGAGCTTGTCGCCCACCAAGACGAACGAAATGGTGT